ACTTCGGATACCTGTAGGACGTAAGATTCCCTAAGGTTGTAAAGTCTGACGATAAGGAAGTTACTTACCGCAGTAAAGGAAATTAGATATATTACATGAAGTAATCAGAGAAGATTATTCCCGGTGACAATGTATAAATATATCTGTATTTTTATTAAGTTTCAATACCTTTGAATAAAGAACTTATTTTATTTTTATCATATTAATAAAGAATATAATTAACCAAGTAAAAACTTAATCTTTGCAACCCTTTAACCTGTTTGTAAATTTATATTGTTTATTAATTTTACATAATATTATATTGATTTGTTGTATTGGCTTAAGATATAATCACTGAAATGTAATCTTTGAAATATCCAGAAGTTACTTGTATTTAAATTGAGAATAATCTTTGATGATACTGTGAATCCTCACCTGTGATTCCTTGATTTTAGTTTTAGATTTATTTATTTTTAGCAACTTTAATTTGAGTTACAAATCGAACGTAACAACATTCAAAATCTTTATGAATATTAAAAGATTCTTTTTCTTTAAATAATTCTTGATAAAATTGATTTATAACACAAATTCCATTATATAATGTATTTGCTTTGTAATCTTTTTTGTCTATAGATTTAATTACAATAAATTCACATAATAATAATGCAATAACTTTCTTATCATAAAGAGTTGGTAAATCTATTTCTGGTTGTGTATCATTTACAAATTCTTCAAATCTGGAAAACCACAATTTTGTAATTTTTTTTTAGTATTTTCAGGTCTGGATGTAGTAACATATATTTGTAAAGTTTTTATAGAAGGGCGTTCATATGTTTCTTTTAATTTGGATGGTTTAGAAGGTTTAGAAGTTTCATATATTTTAAATATTTTTGCTTTATTTAAAGTAGCAAATCTTTCTTTTAGTTCATCTGTAATAGCAATATTATTCTTTGAATGTAATAATTCCGAAGCTTTTTTAAAACTTTTATTCATATTTTTAAATTATAAAATGGAAGTTGATAGAAAGAGAGAGAAAGTGAAAATTTAATCATTTAACGTTAACGTTAATTAATTATATATAAACAGGCTGTGTGGCTAAGGGGATAAAAAAGTAATTGGGATAGTAACATTTTGTTAGAATCGGATTCAATCCCGTGTTACTAACTTTATCAATAAATAAACCGTTTTTTAAAAAAAACGAAACCATATAATAATAAACAATTATAACTGTCGTTAGCTTCTAAATAATATTTACAACCCAACATCAAAGTATTATTGAACTAGGAAAAGCAATTTCAATTATCAAAAAATAATTAAAGTGCTCAAAATACAGAAAAAAACACGAAAAATGGCTAGAGCTTTTTGAAAAAATATGAGTGATTTTTATCCACAAGAGGAGATATAAAAATTCAATTACACTTATTTATATTAGAAAATCAAGTGGCTGCTACTAAAAAAAAGAGTGAATGAATATATAGCAATATAAATGATTTAACTTGTTATTTAATTCGGATTATAATAATTTTAACACTATGCAATATTAAATAAATTCATTGATAAATAATTTCCAGTACGAATTTCAAATGATATATCCGGTAATGACGAAACATTGATATTTTCCCAGAAAATTCAACTCCGATAATAAATCCTCGATGTGTAGTACCATGAGTAAACGGGAATGATCATCCATATATTATGGCTGGAACGGATTGTGATATTTGAATACATTAAAGGCCCAGAATAAAATGTCAATGATCCTTCCTTTTATAAGAATATTGTTTTAAATACAAGAATACAAAGTTTAAAAAACAAAATATTACAAAAATAATAATTTACTTGATACAACTCGAGATTCGTTATGTTGCGTGCAAATTTTATAACCTACATTTCTTATTGGTTTACAAATTATGGTATAATGCACAACAAATAATACTGCGTCATACAGTTGACAATCCCAGTATAATATTTATACAAGGCAAAGAAAAAGTTCTAAAGCGGTAATGCCTTTTGTCTTTGTAGGCGCAAATGGCTATTTGTCTAATAAAAATGAAAGAATATTTTTTTTAAATTTCATTAGTTCGACTTATCGTTTAATTCACAAGCGTGCTGTGAAACAAAAAAAATCTTAAATCACGTGTAACCTTAAAAGGTAATTTAACTTGTTACGGAACAATAACTGATAAATTAGAAAATTTTCGTACGCCAATGATTTCATTTCTTGCGGCGGAAAAATTGAAACATTGATTTGTTTATGTTTCACATATTTACTTATATAATTCCCGTTCGACTTTACGAAAATTACCGCGAAATTCCAGTTTCCTTCTCGTTATTTTCTCATAGTATATACAGTGTATATACAACAATACTTTATTCTATAATTCTAAAATTCTATGTTTGTTGAAACGAAAATTTTTAAGGAGTGGGAATATTTTTCTTTTAATAAAATGCCACTTACAAATTCTGCGCCATATTTTGATACTATCTTTTCACTTTGGTCAAAGAATGAGTATATTTAAGACGTAACATTACGAATTGTCAATACTTCAAAAAATCTATAGGTTAAATTTTCGAGTTGACAAGACTGCGGCATAAAATTGGCGAACTGTTGAAAAAGGTTTAATGGTTCTCGCAACACGTGACTTTATTTCCGTTACTCGTCTTTGCAGTTTCTACACAATAAATTTTCAGGAGGTACAAAATGTATTACTATGCATTAGATAACAAATGATTTTTGACCCTTACTTTTTTTTTAAAAAAACAAACAAAAATAAAGTGTTCAGTTTTATTTCATAATTTGACCTTTTTTATGTCTTGATCGAAATTAATTTTCTATTAAGAAAGAACCAAAGAATTAAAAATAAAAAATAAAACACGAAAGTGTAACATAAATGTTGAACCTTTAAAAAGAATTTTCTTGATGAAAAAATAATTCTTTCTTTATTAGACTCTTTTTTTTGAAAAAAAAAAATAAATTTTTTTTTTGTCGTTTAATGAAAGGCTATCCTTTATTCCCTTTTCAAAACCGATAACATTCCCATCTTACATTCACTTATAAAGCCAGTTTCCTTTTTTGTTAATACGTAAAACTCACGATATTCATACCGATATTACATTTTTTTCATAAACCGTACTTATTAATATTTTTTTATTTTTATTTTTATTTTAAAAAATTTCTTTTTTCCTAAATTCCTTTCCTTTTTCTCCCATCTGTGATATACCTTATTTATTCACGAATTCTCAAATAAAAAATCTTCTTTATGTATGTATTCAATTTATAAACAAATAGTTTAAATTCGGTCTTATAAATATTTATCTCCTCATATACAAAATGTTTCATTTGTAATCCAATTAAGTCAAAAAAGGCATAACTCTTTTTCTCGTTCCCTTAATTATATTTCATTTAATTGACTTAACCATCACTATAAAAATCTGGAAATCTTTTTGTTTCTCTTTTTTTTTTATGATAATTTTCTTTTTCGACCAATCAAAAAGGTGTTAATACTTTGATTTCTTTTTTATTTCTTCTCACTGCGAATATATATATATATATATATATCGATCGGAAAATATTTTTATTAATCATATTCCCTTTAAAATCTTGTCGTTGAAAAATCGATTTTGGTTTTAAAAAAAAGGCATTGCATTGTGATAGTGATAAATGAAGGATCAAGCAAATTTTCCTGAAACCGATGATGGAAGAACGTTTCACTTTGGAGTTAAACGCGGTGAAGGTCACTATCTTTTTTTTAAAAATTAAAAAAAATTAAAATAAAATAAAATAAAGATTCTTGAATTTTTTCGTTTATTATTTATTTTTTTAAGTTCTGCGCCTCAATTCAACCTTTTCTTTTTTTAACAAAAAATTTAGTCGCGAATCGAATCATAACGGTTGAAGATCCTTCAAAAGCATTAATGATAGAAAAATTATTAGATCGTAATCCGAAGCCGTATATTTTTAATTCAAGGAGAGGTTTCTTAACAATAACAGGACGTTATAGAAGTATTCCTATTAGCATAATCTCTATATTTCACGTAAGTTCCAAAAATCAAAAATAATGAATAAATAAAGAAATTGATTTGTCTTTGCAACTTTTAGTAACTAATCGTCTTTATAGGGATTTGCTATGATGGACCTTTTCATAAGAGAAGCCCGACATGTTGTTGATGGACCTTTGGTTATTATTCGATTAGGAACTTGTGGTTCAATAGGAAGTCCAAGTGTAGGGGATGTCATGATACCGAGCGGATCATTCGCCGTAACAAAGAACTATGATTATTTCATTCATGGAATTGATACAAAAGATGCATTCCCTATCGTAGATTCTCCTTATAATATATCAAAAATCACTTATTGTGATCGGGAAATGTGTGAAATGGTAATTCTTGCATTTTTTTTTTTTTTTTGATAAATAATAAGATTTCTAAATTGATTCCCTTACTCGATTTCGCATTGTATGTATATAGATACAAAGAGAGCTAGGCAAAGTCATGACGAAGATACAAATATTCTCCGGAATAAACGCTTGTACAGATAGTTTTTATTCATCTCAAGGAAGACCTGATGATAATTTTCTTGACGAAAATCATGAAGTACTCTCATCAATATTTCAAAAATATCCAAATGCACATACAATGGATATGGAAACATTTACGTTGTATCATTTATCAAATGTCAGTCTATCGTCATCAATACCTCCTCAGCCTCAACAAGTACATATACCACAATCAAAACAATCCAATTCACCTTTCTTACAAATGAATAATTCTTCGCAAATATCCCTTGGAAGAAAGTCCATTAATAATTCCCCACAAAGAATGTCTTTTGATATTTCAATAAAGCAAAGACATTCAATGGATGTATCAAGAAGAATGAATAATACTTTTTCTGTATCTAAAAATAATAACTTAAATGTTCATCAACCTCATAGACATCATTTAAATAATAGTTCAACCAATTTAAACTCTTACAATCAAAAAGTTCAATATACTGTGACCAATAGTATAAGATCTACTGCAGTTCTAATTGTACTTAATGATAGGAAAACCAATGAATTGATTTCGGAAGATACGGTAAATTTATTGGAACCTTTGTGTAGCGAAGCCTGTTTAAATACTTTAACAAGGGTTGAGATTATAGGATCTCATGAAGAAGAAGGAAGCGTCTGGAGTTATAAGTTGACTGAAAAAAATATCAAAAAAAAGGGAAGTAAAATTGTTAGGATGATTAAAAGGAAATTGTCTGCGTAGAGATATCCAAGAAAAAAAAAGGCGGAAAGCTTAAAAATGTTTATGATGTTGTAATTGAAAATTCTTAATAAATTATTTGATGATTTCTTTTAAATTGTTTTTTTTTTTTGCTTACCAAAAATCTTAATTCTTTGATTGATCCTTAACAAAATTTATATTTCATTTGAGATATTTAAGATGTATTTTTTTTTATATTTATAGGAAATGTATAATTGAGGAAAATACTTTGTTCGGTATATTTCTCGTGGACATGCTTGCTCGTGCTAAATCTAATTTATGCTTCTTGGTCATATATTTGCCGAATGATTTATATCAACCAAGCGAAAGCAAGGCAGTGGACGATTTTAATTAAGTTAATAGTAAACTAGAAGTATTTGTTCCTTTGGATAATTTCAAAGAGAAAGCATATTATTAATTTTAAATTATTTTGTTGCGAAAAATTTGCAACCTCAAATAAAGAAAATCTCTACTAATATTGTGATTCTCACAAGGAGTTTATTGTTGTGATAACAAATGGAATTTTTAATGCTTTGTGTAATAAATAGAAATACTTTTTTTCTGCAGGTGCTCCTATGCATCTTTCTATGCAACATCTGATAAAGAAAGAATGAAAACAGGAGCTGTAGCCAAAATAAATAAGTGAATATTGCATATGATTAAAAGTCTCTTAGTTTCCAAAATGGAAGGAGAACATTCTACAAAAAAACGATTAAAGTTGTGTAAGGGTGAAAAACTCCCCCCAAAAAGAATATCAATCTAGTAAGATTGATTTACTGGCAACCTGTCTATTATAAAAAAAAATCATCTTGCTAATTTTCGTATTTTAAGAATCCTAATTAATGATTGAATAAATAAAACTACTAAGAATTTCACGATAAAAATGAATACTAATGGTGCTTGAAAAAAAAAATATACTTCACGATTATTTTGCAATCCCTTTTTTTTTTTTTTTTTTTAATGAATGTTTTATTGCGTGATGAAAATTTTTAACTATGAAACGAATAATTGGTGTAAAGAGATGGATTTCAGTTTCGATTTAAAAATCATTTTAACATACATTTTTTTTTGAATATCTATAAATAATATCTTAATGGTTAATTCAGAGAATACAAATATATATTTTTCTGAATTTTAATTATGTATACCTTTGCCGATTAGTAGATTCCAATAAAGCTTCCAATGCACAGGGAATAAATAAATAAATATATAAAGGAATATATCAGAACAATGAAAGGAAAAATTGGAAGTTTCCAATTCAATTAGAAAGATATTGGAAGCTTCCCAATGCACATCCGTGCTTGTCAAATTTTCATACAACCAATTTTATTTAATGAAAAAATAATTTGCTGCGGCTATATATATATTTTTTTTTTTTTACCAAATTTGGGGCTTAAACGCGGCGACCGAACATCAAAAGGGATTGTGTTCTAAATAAAGGGATTACACGAATTTCGCCACTCGTATGACAAATATGGCTAAACCAAAATTAAAGTTTATTAAATAAAAAAAATTATAAAAGGTGATTGTTTCTACTTGATCTTTTTTTTTCTTTAAGGCATAAAATCATAAAACCTTACGATAAAAGACTGATCAATAGAAAAATTTACCTTTGCTAAAAAGAAAAAAATTTTTTTTTAATCCTAATAATCAAAATGTCACCATCAATTCCGGTAAAATCCAAGGAACATAATGAAATTACAAGAGTGAATGATGATAACGGACGTGTAATGAACTGGGATGAAGTTAAAGAAATAGTCGGTTGGTAAAGACTTGATAAATTTCTCGAGTAAACTTTTTTTATATATTCATATTATTAACTCACTAATTTGATTCTTTTATTCCGATTGATAAGAAACTGGGTTCGTATATATATCCTTCTTTTTTTTTTTTCTATTCCACCATTTATTTTTTATTAAATCAGTCTAACTTGATACCTTTTTTCTTCTTTTTAAAGTCGTCTAGAATTATTGCGTCGTGAAAAGTCATTACAATTAAAATATGCTGCATATAAAGTGAAAATAGCGCAAGAATATAATTCATTGGATCATTACGTTTGCAAAGTTATTTTAAACTGGCCCAAAGAAATTATTGTTCATCAAAAGTCATTCTCAAATAACCTTTCACCGCAGGAATATTTTTCGTCGAAAACCCCTTCAACTCATTATAATCTTCGCTTAAATGATTTTCCCTATATCGTGGACGCTTCCATTTCTCATTATATCCTATGGTCCAAATTACCTTTCGAAGATCAAAATGATCCTGATGTGAGGAAAGAGATTGATTCATTTTTAAAAGAAAAATTTCCTGGAGAGAAAGAATGGGTATTTTTTATTAATCCACCTCGATTACAGAGTGTTAAAAGTATTTGGCACGGTCATATTTTTGTAAGGGATGTTCCAAACAATATTAGCGAATAGAAATTTTTTTTTTTATATCACTGGAAAATCTTTTTATTTCAATAATTTAAAATTAATTCATATTTAACGAGACGAGAATGTCGCAATATCGAAATTTTTAATTTTGTCATTCTCATTTATGTTTACTTATTATCGATTTTTCCCGTTTTCTTAAAATCAAGTTGATGTAAACATGTCAAACGTCATGGATTCATTCAAATTGATATTTGATTTAGTTAGAATAATCGAACATGTCTTCGTTTGGAGCTTTTACTTGAGTATTTGCTTTAAAATCATCCCTTTAAAAGAAAATTTCCCAAGATATTTAATTCATTAAAATCTCTTATATACATCTATTTATTTTCTTATGGAATATTTGAATGGAACAATTTTGTTAAATCTAATTTATATTCTCAAACGAAATATCAATCAAGTTTTAGACTTTAAAATCTATTGTTAAAAACGAATTCTTTGCATTACCATATTAAATAAGAAATTTATTAATTCATTGCAAACATGATTTTAAATCAGAATATTAAAAAAAGTGTGATATTTACCATTATATCATAATGTAACATCACATAATTTTTAATGCATTAATGATTATTATAATTTATTATAATGAATTGAATTCAAATATGTCGGTAATAAATTCAATGTATTTTCATCTAATTAATACTTTTGTATTTTTATTAGTAAAAAAGGTTTAATAATTTAATTCTAAAGAGATTAATAGGATTAATAGGAATATTATTTCTTGATAATTGTTACTTATTTATAATTCTTTCATCTACCTTTGTACTGCGCCACTGTCGTACTTTTGCAAAGTAAACACCGCATGTTATCCATAAAAGGGCAAATAAAGAAAATATTATATGTATACTAATGTTACGCGGAATAAATGTTTATAAACATTTCGAGGAGATAAATATATATATTGTAGAAATTGGAGACGGCAGTAGAGTTTCAAAGACAAATTCCCTTTCATAATTTTATACTTTTTCTGCTGAGATAAATTACGATGGATAAAGATTCACCTAAAGACCAGCCATATCCCCAGAAAGAATCTCACCAACATCAAATGCCAGCTCAATCATACCAACAATATCAAAATGTTAACGAACAAAATATGATTTTATTTGAAAATGAACCACAACACACCGTTATCATTACAGAGAAATTAATTCCGGGACAAGTGGATCGAACAATTCCCCCAGTTGATAGAACTTTAACAGGTCTCACTAGTTTAGAACAAATTTGGAGAATGCCTTTAATAAATAATGGAAAACCTACCTGGAAATTTTGGTTTGCTTTAGCATTTTTATTGTACATTGCATTTTACGTCTTATCGTTTCTTGGAAGTACTTTCATGTACTCAAATAGCGGCAGTTATAGTTATAATTATAATTATAATGAAAAAACTGAGACGCACGGAGGAAATAATGATGGTAACGGCAATTGTCATATGCCAACAAATTGTCCCGAAGGAACGGTAATACTTTGTTATTTTTAATTTATTAGTTTTCTGTTTTCTTCAACTTTAATTTATAACTAAAGTATTCCTTTATAATAGAAACTATGTCCGATTGGAAATTGCATTTGGATATGTGAAAAGAAGGTATTTATAATTTATTTTTACTTTTATACGAAATGTTAGAAATATTAATCACTTTTTTTAATATATCATAGTGTATTTCGGAAATCGTTAATCTTACATCATAATTTCAGACTTTTTATATTAGTTATTATAGATAATTCATTATTTATAAATCTTTCACAGAAACAACACGTTTTCTTTTTTTTTTTGTCATTAATATATTTACTTTTAAGGCTCCGAATTATTATATAAATAAGGAAATTTGGAAGGTAGCATTTCAATTAGAGTGATTTCTTCTCCTTGCAAATATTAAAGTTCAATATTTACCATTGAATGAATAAATAATGTAATTTTTTTTATTGTGTTACAAATTTACATTTTACATCCCAAAATAGAACAAAGTTTATCAATAGATAATTTAACTTATTTTAACTTATGAAGAATTTTTTTTACATGGATTCTAATATAAATATAATATAAAAAATATATATATATTTTTTTTTTAAAGTTGGTAAAGCTTTTAATATTTTATATATATAATTAATAAAAACAATTCTTATTTATATATAAGTCATTTAAAATAATATTAATAATAATTCTAAAAGTAATAAAATTAAAATTATTTTTAAGTTTAAGAATTATTATCATTGGTTTTTAACTTCCTTAATAAGTGGGATTAATTTAAATTACTAAGTTTGTAAATATTTCATAATCATTTTATTAGTATAATAAAATTTTATTAATAATTTTTTAACTATAATACAAAAAGAATTTTATAAAGCTAGGATCTTTGATTAAATTATTAATCTAAAAAGGTCAGTGAATCTAATCTGATTTGAAAATGTGAATAATATGAAAATCAAAACAACTTTAATAGTTTGTATATGATTTTTATTAACTTATTTTCTAATAAAAATATATTTAACAATTTTAAATATAACTTTTATTAGATTTTCTGATAATTCAAGTATAACTTTTATTAAAAATGTTATTCTAATAAAAGTCATTTTACATAATTAAGATTTTAATAATGTTTATTGTAATAGATTATAAGTGTAGTTATATTTAGAATTAATATATTTATTATATACTATAAATATCATAATTGTAATAATATAGTTAGTCATGTGATTTATGATATAATTATTGTGAACGGATAAAATATGATAGGACTTACGTGGCGCAGATGATCGACAAATCTGACAGATCTGACAAATCTAACATATTTGATAATTCTGATATGTCTGACATATATGACATATCTGACATGATCGACAAATACGATATATTCGACAGATTCGACATATATGATATATCGGACATATTTGACATATACGATATATTAATATATTAGACATATTAGTTATATCTTTCTATATACTGTATTTTATATAAATAGATAGCTTTTTAGACCATATAAAAAGTAGGATTTGACAAGTCAGTTTTTAGTAGTTTTTAAGAGGCAAACAGGCCTATTGTGTTACATTTTAGTTTCATATTTCGTTTCTTTTCTTTTCTTTTCTTTCTTCTTGTTATATCTTTTATTTTCTTTATTTCTATTTCTATTATTATCAATAAACATCTTGTTTGAAAATATAATTACTTGATACCTCGTGAATTGTTAGTCGTGAAATACTCGCATAAACCTTGATTCAAAACCTTTGTTTGATCAGCTGTGATAATAAACTTGTAAGAGCCTTAAGATTACTACGTACATTAAAAAGAAATAACACTCTGACACCCCATCTAACAGTTGTAGTTCGCAAGAATTACACGTTAACATTATTTAGTATTTAACCAATTATATTAAAGAATTAAATTAAAATTCATATATTATTATTTTAATATCCTATAATCAGAAATTTATAATTATATTTCATTAGAATTATTTAATTGTAAAAAATTAAATAAAAAGTTATTCATTAAAATCCAAGCAATATTGATTAAGTTATTAAATTTTTTATTTTTAGATAAAATTTTATCTTTAATTTTGGCTGAAATTATGATAATTATATTAATTATAATATTAATATACTTTAAAACACTAGTCAAAATAATTTTATTTTTTTAGATTGTTAATGATGCAGTCTAGCTGCAGTATTTTATTTATATTGTAAATTGAAGAAAAATAAAAATTCTAAAAAAAAACTAAAATACGCAACTTACCCCCCCCCCCCTGTGATTCTATTTCAAACTTGTTTGAATCGATTGATTACTACCACCCCCCAAAGGGGATAGAAATAAAGTGTCAAAAAGCATCTAATTTCTAAATGTCCGTTGAACCCTAACTTTTCTCAAAAGAAAATTCTAACACTAAAAACAACACCTGAAGTAGGAAATTAGCACAAATAGAAATTTACAAACAACTAAAAAATGACTTTATAAGTCCTAGTTAAAGTCCTGTCAATTCTAGCTTAAAGTGACCACCCAACAGAAGAAGGTACGTCTAAGTAACTAGGTCCAAACAAAGGCTCTTCATACTTATAAATTCATAAGTACGAAAAAATATCACATAGAATCCACTATGAAATTAAACTATATTCACAGAAGGTCAGCGAGAAAGGATCTAAGGGTAAAATCACTTTGGATTATTACCAACTGAACTAAGCCAGCCAGTTAAGGTAAGAAAAGAATCAACGGTTTTTCAGGCGTCAACTAAACTAAGGGATTAGGATCATTCTAAAAGCAAGCTTCACCATACCATATAGAATAATAACGCTAAATTTGCACGTGACTTTTGACGATAGAGGATCTGCAGAAAGGCAGAGGTCAATCAAAAGAGAGAGTATTATTTAGAAAGGGAAAGGGATCATCATGTGAGATTTGTTTATCCAAAGTATGTTGATCATAATCATCAGTTCGAATACCCCTTGATGCCCACTTTTTGTAGGCAAAAAAGAAAAAGAGAAAAAATGGAAAAAATTTTTGAAAAGAGGTGAAGAAAAAATATTTTAACAAAAAACAATACAGTTTAGACTATTTCGAAAATTTTTATGTAGAAAGGGGTGTGGAGAACAAAGAGAGGAATATTTTTGAAAGGTGAGGTTTTTTGTTTTATTTGCAGGTTAAGCTGTGACCATCCTTGAACAGACACTTTTTTAAAGTAAAAATTCTTGGAAAAAATCCAACGAGAAGAAAAAGTTTTTTCTCCCACTAGTCGAAATAATCCATTTTGTCACTTTTAAAAGTGCTAAATTTTGACCAAAATATAGTCTAATTTCTGCTGATCATTGCCAAAACAATCAGCATTTTTAGTTATAACTGAAGTTATACATTTTCATATTACACAAAAAGACATTTGACATTAACAATTGGTAGTTATTTATATATTTGATAAAATCAGCTTAAATTTGTTCAACTAACAAAATAAACAAAATTCGACTTGTTAATAAAAAGTTCGGTAATATTTCAGCTATATGTTTGATAAAATTGGCTTAAATTCATTCAACTAACAAAACAAACAAAATTTGACTTGTTAATAAAAAGTTTGCTTAAATTCGTTCGACTTGTTAATAAAAAGTTCGGTAATATTTCGGCTATATGTTTGATAAAATTGGCTTAAATTCGTTCAACTAACAAAACAGACAAAATTTGACTTGTTAATAAAAAGTTTGCTTAAATTCGTTCAACTAACAAAACAACAAAATTCAACTTGTTAATAAAAAGTTCGGTAATATTTCAGCTATAAGTAATCGCAAAATCGGTGAAATAAAATTTCTGATATTTAGATGATTTATTTTCGTATTTTTTGACGATTTATTTATTTTATAATAACGTAATTTAATCGAATTAATAACAAATGGTTTATTAATTTAAAATATAAAATAAAATATATAATAAAATATAATTATAAAATATAATAATACAAATATATATAAAATAAACTAAGAATCAAATAAAATTTATTATAAATTATGATATGCCGAATTTATTCTTCTTCTTCAATATCATCATCTTCACCTTCAACTTCGGTTGCTGATACTGAAAAATCAGTGTCTGCTAGAGTATTTTGATCTACAAATATCAGTCAGAAGCATTTTGAGGGTGTCAAATATGTATCGCAAAATTGTTGCTATAATGTCAAGTTCTCGTTAATTGCGTAGTTTGTAGCGAGAACGCATAATAGTTGACCTTTCGCAACAACGCCCACAACTAATAAAATTAAATATCAGAATTAGTTAAAATTTTAACAAAAATTATAATTAAATTTCTAAAAAAGTATTGAATCTCATCTGATCTCCAGCTTGGATTATAAATATTAATTATTCGTATTTCCGTTTCTTCTGAATCAGTCACCGAATCTTCAGGAGAATGATAACGATTGTCCCCCAAGATCCCCAATAACTCTTCCTTATTATATTTCAAAACTCTCTCATCGCCTAAATCAAAAAGCGAATTGGCACCTTTAATCCTTCTGGCCTTTTTCTAAATTAAAATATCGAATGTTAATCGAAGTTCATTTTTCTTAAAAAAAATAATCAATTTCGATTATATTTACCTCACTGGTACGATTGTTTTTGTGTAATCGCTGATTATCACGATCTAAAGTACTACATTATTTATATAATAACTGAACTCGTCGATGACTGTGAAGTGAGCCAAGCCAATCTCTGATTTATTTGTATGTTATTTTGAACCTTTTTAAGGCTTTAACGAGATGCGGTATTACTTTTCGTAATATTTTGGTATTTTCTTTACTGCCGAACTTAAGATCATATCTCATTTCAAGATAGTTCGGTAATGTTTTTAAAATCATTCTCATTTCAATCTAAATTATAAAAAAAAATAAAGCCGATTTAAGTTAATTTGATTGATATCGGTTATATTTGATTAAAATTCGATTAGAATTAAAGTTATTTTAATTAGAATTCAGAAGAGATTTTAAACAAACCCTGGCCACTTCATTGTTGTAAGACCCCTCTTCATCGCTTTCATCGCTACTGTATCAAGTTCACTTTCCTCAACAATCATCATCTGATTCTTCATCTCTACGTCTTCGTCGGCCTCATCCAAGTTAATCCTGCAAACTCTCATTTTCACGAATAAGAACTTCGTTATCTATAGTAACTTTGCCGAATTCTGTCCTTAAATGTCTTAATTCTTCATTTGCATTGCTGAGTTGCCT